GACAAAAGGTTGTAGATTGCCCCCAGTCTTAGTTCAAGTGGCAAAGGTTGAGGGACTTGTGACTTAGGTCATAGGTTCGAGCCTTGTGTCATGTGAGCTAAGCTTGGTATTTTAAGTGGAGAAGGGTACAGGGTGGGTCTATTATCCCCGAGTTCCGGAGGCTCCGGTTGGTCCTATGGGTTGCGGCAGACCGATTACTCTGTCATCTTAAAAAACAAGTTGTTCTAGATTAGCTCATTTTCTGAGATTTTGGAAAAATCATTAGAATGTAGGATCTTCAGCTTCTCTCTCTGGTGGATTTCAGGCCTTCAAAGTTATGTATTCTAATAACTTAGTTTAAGTTTCTCTATCTTATAGGATAACTGTTTAAGGTCATGCAGGATACGTTTGCATTGCTCTTAATCTTTTAAGGATGTACTGTCCGGTAGGGATAATTTCTTTGCTTTTATGCAGGCTTTCTCCTTTTATTTTTAAGCTTTCTTTTTTTCTTTTGGACTTCTCTTCATATCTTCCACCTCTTCTGCAGGCTTGATAAGAGTAAGTTCTATGTTGTGGGAGCTGGGATATTTACAGGGCTTACTGTTGCGCTCTACCCCATTTCCGTTATCAAGACTAGAATGCAAGTTGCAACCAATACTGCTGCGAAAGACAATGCATTTTCTGTTGTCAGGGGCATATTGCGAAACGATGGTGTTCCTGGTTTATATAGAGGTTTTGGAACGGTCATTACTGGGGCGATTCCCGCCAGGATTATATTTCTCACAGCACTAGAGACCACTAAGGTGGCTGCCTTTAAGATGGTTGAACCATTCAAACTATCAGAACCTATACAGGCAGCTATAGCAAATGGCGTTGCTGGCATGCTGGCGTCTCTCTGTTCACAATCTGTCTTTGTTCCAATTGACATAGTATGGCCTTTATCTCTACATTCTCTTTTCATAATAGAGGCTTAATGACTTGGACTAGTGGATTGTAAATCTGACGTAATTTATTCTCTAAAAATCCACGTGTAGCTAGATTAAATATCTGATTTCATCTGAAGAATGTTTTCTTAAATTATCAGATTGCTCTTCATTCTTTTTGTCATTTACTAGAATTTGCATTAGAATATTAACTACATTTGGCTGAATTGAGCATAGCAAAGTAATTTACAAATAAGTCGTGTTTCTGACATTTATGGTCTTCCTTATTTTGTTGTTATTGCCCTGCTTTCTACTCCAGTCAGTCACAATTTTGTGGATGAGTTTTTTCAAGTTTCGAAAACTAATGTCATGAAATCGGATGGAAATAGGTTAGTCAAAGGTTAATGGTGCAAGGATACTCAGGCCACGCAAGCTACAATGGTGGCTTGGATGTTGCTCGCAAGGTTCTGAAGTCAGAAGGTGTTCGTGGACTATACAGAGGGTTTGGTCTATCTGTTATAACATATTCCCCATCCAGTGCTGTATGGTGGGCAAGTTATGGCTCGAGCCAGCGTTTCATATGGAGGTGAGACATGACAATGCCGATCTTCCAAAATTCTTTAAGAGTGGACTTTCCCTTTTCTACTGTTCGCGTTCCTGCTATACCTTTGTATTGGGTTGCATCGCCAAGTATTGTTGTTCTATAGATTTCTGTTGGGTAACTTTTTGTGGCTTATCAATTGCTTTTGGTATCTATCAGCAGGCTCTTGGATAATGGAACTGAGCATGGTGGGCCTGCTCCCGGCCAGGGGAAAATAGTGGCAGTTCAAGCTGCTGGTGGGATCATTGCAGGTGCTACTGCATCTTGCATAACAACTCCATTGGACACCATTAAAACTCGATTGCAGGTATTACCTCTGTTTTCTGTTATGAACTATTTCTTCAAAACGGTGACTGATTTTTCTACACTTTTCAAAATTTTCCGTACTGTTTACCCTTGATTAGTTTTTGTGTTAAGTATTTGCAAGTGTTAAGCTTTCGCAAGAGGCATTGTAGTACCTTTAGATGAGTTAGGACTTAGGTGTTCGTTTTGTTTCCTACAGATTGCTGTGCACAATTTTGCATTAATAGCTGCTTCCTTCATTTGCATAGAAATTGTGGATATTCTCTTTTCTCTCTCTCGGTCTTTTTTCCTTTTTTCTTTTTCATTGTGATGATGTATGATTTTATTAGAAAAAACAGTATCAAGCTGATACTGTGATAGTACAAAGATAATGCTGGTTATAAAACACTAGAAAGCTAAGTTATCAAGCATGTCCAGCATGTTTTGAAGATCCAATACAACACTCCCATCTCTTCAGTAGTACAAGTAGCGTAAACATTTATATTTCACAGACTGCACCTCCTCCTTTTTGCCTTCAAAACACCTCTTATTTCTTTCTTTCCATATTGTCCAGGCTATGCATCTCTTTTCCCTTTGGTCTCATCCTTTGGTGGTTGGACACATAAATGAGAGTGTTGAGAAGCAATTCCTTTTAAAGCTCTAGCCACACTATTTTGTGCTCTTGCATTGTCCTGTAATTAGTCTCAGTTTTGGAGTCTTGTTATTTAAGGATCTTGTTGTTCATGCACTACAGGTGATGGGACACGACACGAGACCTACTGCACGTCAAGTAGTGAAGCAGTTGATTGCCGAGGATGGTTGGACAGGATTTTATAGGGGATTAGGTCCAAGATTTGTCAGCATGTCAGCATGGGGAACCTCCATGATACTTGCCTATGAATATCTCAGTATGATCTTAACCTCTTCTTCTTTTTCCTTTAATTTTTACTACCTCGTGAGCAATAAATCACAATTTGTTTGGAAGTTTAAGTGTGATTTATAAACCTAATGTGTTGCTACTATGGATGTGTCCAATTGAATCAGAGTGGTAGGTGTTGTACTTGATTTTTGCGAGTTTATATGGGACCTTCTATTCACAACATTCTGATTTTGTGATTGATCTTGATGCCTTTAAAGGACAGTTGTGACCTGAAAATACTTGTTATCATTCACTATTACAATAAATTTATCTATGAAATTTGGCCTCCCACTGACTTGATGTGTGCTTTGCTGTTCTTTATGTTTTATTATCAGTTTTATTGATGCTCCAGTTACTGTGCCCAATCTGTTTTACCTCTTGATCAAAAAAACTGTGCCTAATCTGTTTACATATAGATTTTGTGGCCTATTAGCTCTGATTAGTATAAAGAGTTTGCATGTCTGCTCGGCTGCTCCATCATGCTTCCCTTGAAACAAGCCTTTTTATCTGGATCAGATGTTCACTAATATGTCCTTTGTAGCTTAGTGGGCAAACAAAAATATCCAGTTCGCACTCTAGTTGTGACAAATGCATATTCATAAAAGAGAGAAGATCTGTTGCTCTAATTCTTGATTCTAGGCAAAAAATAACACCCAATTGGTTCTCCATTTTTGACGATATCATTGCCAATTAAAAAAGAGAAAAGCCTTGTTAAAATACTCGAGTGTCACATTTGTATCCTAATATTTGATAAGCTACTGCTATTTTTTTTTTAACATGAAGATATGAAACGTGCATCTTGTTCAATAAATTTTCCTGAAACATGATTTTTTTTTGGCAGAACGCTTGTGTGCAGTAAATGAATAGGTTGATAGAGCTAGCTGCCAGATGACTCTTCATGCGGTAGGGTTTTTCTTATATTACTGCCATACAATTTTGGAGCTGGAGATATCAAGACCGTGCTAGCTCTCCTGATTAGTTGTCCGTATAGATGACAGTGATACATAAGCTGACTTGGAATCCAAGTATCTGGCCTACCACAATTGATTTTCTTTGGGATTTACTCACAGTATTCTTAAACGATTTTTGCCGGATAAATGCAATATTCATTGATTGTAATCAATCACTACAAGGAGGATGAAGAATATATTCTTAAATGATTTTTGCCAGATAAATGTAATATTAATCTATATGCATAGATGAATTCTTGATCAAATGCAAGTTCATTTCAATGCAACTCTTGTTTTGAAGCCTTTAGATTCTTCGATTTGGTTTTTTCCCGACAGTTGGATCCCGTTTTGTTATACTTGTCCAGGTATCAAGAACTGCGCCCCATTGCACTTGTTCCTGCATATAAGTCCATGTAATAAACAAATATTTTCGTCTTCAATTTACTTACTTTTGATTACCAAAATTAGGTACCGGAGCTACCCTTTTGTGGACTTCAATTTGTGGTGAAAATCGTGTCTAGTACTAGTGTAGAGGTTCTACATTCCTTTCGCATTTAGAATGCAAGATGTCGTAGCCCTTATTCCACGAAAGGGGAGCATTACCAGTTTCGTACAAATGGTCAAGGAGGGTTCCATGAGCCATATAAACGAAAAACCTTTTCATTTATTATCGATGCACGAACCATCTTGACCAACTGATTATGAAAACTTCCCAAGTGATTTACACCCTTAGGGGTCGTTTTGTTGGAAACAAGTTATCATTGGAATAATTATCTTGGGATTAGTTATCTCACCCTCCCATAGGGATAAGAAAATACTACAATCCCGGGATAACTAAAATCCCGGGTTAGTTATACCGTAATTTTATCTCAACCAAACATGAGATAAATTCGTCTCAAATTTAATTTAATTATCCCTTGTACCAAACGAGCCCTTAATTGTCAATATGGATCTGCTCGAAAAGGATACCCACTTGGCACTGCAAATCTGATGAGGTTACCGGTAGAACTAGGTAAACCAGATTGAACATAACGATTCTTGGGTGTATTGCAATGGCTTTTACATGCTCCACTTCTGCCTTTCTCAGATTATTTCTTGAACATATGCAGTATATTATGAATAGGTGATTTAAGGACATACTGACCTTGATATGTGATGACTACTTTCATTATACTCTTTCCTCTCAGAACTGCATTAAGTTAATACTGTGTTCTTATATTAGCGGCACACTTATTTATCTTACAATCAAAATACTAGATAGAGAAGGTTCAAATCAATCTGGATGCTGCATCACAGAAATAGTGCAAAACTCTGCCAACCATCATGTAAATTCACGGGCCATCAAGTCCCAAAAACCAAAGACCAACTAGTAATATGAGTAAATTGACTAGCAAAACACCAATGCTCTTACATCACTATATCGTGAAGCAAGCTGTCTTTTAAGCTGAATCGCATATTCGGATAAAATTTCTACAAGACTACCCCAATAAAGAAAAGAACTTAAGGCCGAAGGATATCCGCTGCAAAACTTATAACTTCTCACCTCATACTATAGCCTATTTTAAATTAAATAGGCTTAAGAATCTATTTTAGCCTGTATTACACTCTGAGAACTCTTAATCACTAGCTAAGAAAATCCGAATCAAACAGCCTATATCAATTGTGGCCAACAAATTCACTTCTTTTCCCCAAAGCTGCCAATTCAAATGTGCAAGTGTGAATCAAATTATCGACCGTGAAGAGAAATCTATAAAGGGCCATATGAAATTTATTCTCCAAAATGCACATCTCAAATAACTTGGAGCTGATCTTCATTATCATCATCCTCATCATCACGGTTTACCTCCACATATTCCTCAAGTGATGATGCTGTAAACAGTTCACCGACCTTCATGTCATTTTGAGTTAGGTTCTTCTCCGAACTCTGAGACTTCCCTTTGTTCATCTGTTGAATACACATGATGAGCACTAAGAATCTCAGAAACATCACGAAAGCAACATACACCAATGTGCTGAAACTCTGGTAAAACAAGATACTTTTATACAGCTTGGTTCAGTAGAAAAGACAAATGGTAGAAAGGGAAGTAAAGGAGTATTTACAACTTGGTAATAAGTAAAAGAAGGTGGAAAGTAAAAAAGGAGGAGAATGTCATGTTCGCTGTGTCATATTCGCTTATACTATCACATGTGTACGGTTAGATAGTAAATAAATATCAGAACGTGAGAGAAGCAAATCAACCGCTCCCCTCCCATTCAATGAACCAAACCAATCGTTACGTACAGATATTTATTTCTCAAAATCCATTTCATGTTTCATGGAGACTGCTGTTTAATGAGTATTATACAATTAAAAGTAGCCAGCAGGGAAACATTCTCTTCAGCCTTAAGAATCAATTTTCAAGCATAACTAGTATCCATATGTAAACATAAATAGGCAATCCAACATCCAGAGAACAAAACAGTGCTTACATGTACAGACTATGTATGCACTAACCCCAGTCCAATTATTTTCAATCCAGTCTAGCAGAAACAAATAGAAGAGAATCGGGTAGATCCCAAGGGGGGTAAAAATAAAAATGACCATAAACTGTCATCTACATCATTTGTTTATGCAAGAAAAGGTGACATACAATTTACATGTTAAAAGTTGATTTTCATATAACGTGAATACATATTTGAGTAAGTAGGGTACTTTGGGAGGATTATAACATTCACAGTTATGCTGAATATAATTTGATCCACGATATTCATATGGATAAGAAGGCAGGGAGTATGACCGTTTACAGGGAATGATCTGTAGCAATCAATACTTATGACCAAATTGTCGCCAATGTCATGCCAGAAGAGGCAGGCAGTAAGTGGTCTGTCAGTTAACCACCTGAAAGATTGGCAATTGTGAGCCCACAAGGCTTAATGTGGTGTGGAAGGGCGGGAAAGGTGTTCTCGTTTAGACTCCAAGAGAGTAGAGATCAAATAATGAGGAGGAAATATGATTATGGGGAACAAAGAGGGTGAGAGAAATACGTGGTTAAACAGCTTACTTTCTCCTATGGCTAGAGTACATGGTAATAAATCACTGACATGAATTGTAAAGATTTGAAATATAGCAAAGGACAAAGGCCACTCTGGTGCTAAGCACTAGTCAAATGGTATAGCTTGATACTATTGACACATTGTTGAATTATATCGATTACATCTAAATTGAAAAAGATGGGGTTTATGATAAGTCACTGTAGTTAAATCCTAAGTTTCTCCGACACGGTAGTTTAGGTGCCGCGCCCATGTCGACATGAAACTAGTATGGGTGTGGGTATGGGATCTGTACCGGATCTGGTCAAATAATTTTGGGTACTTTGACCACGACGGACGGAAAAAATCGAGACAAGATACAATTTGATTATCAAAATAAGAACCAAAACTAGGATAAATTTGAAGAAAATAGCATATTTTATCTAGGAAATCAATCATTTACTTATCTACAACTTGAGAATAAAAAAGAAATACATATTTCACAAGCGATACATAAGTATTCCAAAAATATTTCTCATAATTTAGAGATAGTTCTATATTTTTATTTATTAATTATTTTTAGCAGGATCCCTGCACCTGCACCTGCACCCGTACTAGAATCCATATCCCTGAATCTTAGAATTTACATCTCGAAGGATCCGACTTCTCGATCCGCACCCGTGTCGGGCACCCGCATCTGTGTCCGAGCAACTTAGGTTAAACCATTCTATTCATTATGAGATGCCAAACCGAGTATATTAGATATCTAATGTGAAAAGATAATATGTGTAGGCACCCAATTATGTTGCCTGGTGTGTGTGTGTTGTTTT